CCATATTTTTCTTGCCCTTTTCAATATGTGTTATTTCACCTCAGGTTCCAGTTTTTCTAGTGTTAAAGACACTGTCTATTTTTTTAAAAAAATATTTTATTTACTTATGCATACGGAAATGGGGTACATGCCAGAGGTACAGGGCTGATGAGAGGATTCACCAGAATCAGAGTGGGGAGCAGAACAGGCAGATCTTCAAAGTGCACTGCTGAGGGGAGCAGCGGGCGGGTCAGGAGAGGTGTGCTGCGCCATGTGGTCACCTCCAGGGTGGGGATTGAACTCGCACTGAAGCAGCTTGGCTAGGCTTCCCAGTGCAGTGCTCCAAACTGCTTTGCCACCAACGAGGGCCCACGGTCTATTTTTGAGTGATCTTTCATTTTCTTCCTCTCACTTCCAGGATTAGTAAAAAAAAAATTTAAGAAGATTTACTTATTTATATAAGAACTGGGATACATGCAGACCTGCCGGGGGTGAGAGGCCTCACCTGAGACAGAGTGGGGAGCAATACAGGTGAGTCGACTGAAATTCATTGCCAAGGGCAACAGTGGGCAGGCCAGGAGAGGGCTGCAGCGCCATGTGGGTCAGCTCCCTGGCGGGGGATCAAACTCCCCCTTCATAGTGCTTCATAGTGCTGCGCTTTAACCTGTTGCGCCACCAGGGAGCCCCCCTCCCCCAGGTTTAGTAATTTTAATGGAGTTGGAGGTGGAACAAGGGATAGCTCACAATGAATTTTCTGCTCTGCCTTCAATTGATTTTTATTTTTCTGGATACAATATGGACACAATGCATGTAGTAATTTCTCTGTTGATATTATATTCTATGTTTTCTCCCTTCTTTCTAACCCCCCACCCCCTACTGCACACTGCTTTTTCTTCAGGTTGAGATACGGTAACATCAATCATTGTCCCCTTCTCATTCAGTGACTCCTATACCAAGTCTCTATCTGTCAGGAATATATGACTCCCCACACCCAGCTCAACACTTTGGATACTAAATTGTCTGAGCTATGCTGTTCCTAAAGGTTTTTTCCTTTAGAAGAGGTGTTTCAGTGAGAAATACCTTCAAAGAATGAACGAATCCCTATAAAATATAAAATACAAAATATAAAAGGCAGAGTGGTGACTGTATCCAGAGTTTGGGTAAGTGTAGTACAATAATTTCTTAGAGAGAATGCTAGTAGACATTGGGCTAACGGCACCAGTATTTATGAGTAGAACAAACTATTCTTAAGTTTGTTATATTCACTGAGGAAATATAGCTCTAGAAAGCAGCTATATGGGAGTTACTAAGCACTTCTTTAAATGGCAAAAATTAAAGAGGTTGTAGGAAGTCAACTAAAGAACTAATGAATATAAAGAGATGTGTTCATGTTTTAGACTGAAATTTAACATGCTCTGTATTTTTTAGTTTATTAAAGGATAGCAAAATTAAAATATAGTTCTTTTCACTTCAAGAACTAATCATTTGTGTTAGGGCTACTCAAGGCAACATACAGATTAGTATAGTAGCAATTTATCTCCCATCTCATTACTTCTTTCTCTGTTTCTACTGTTCTTTCAGAGACTGATCATTCAGCAAGCACTTAGTTCCATTTGTTCTAGAAATGTCATCCAAAGTTAGGTCTCTATTGTCTGACTTCCTAGATTAGGTCAGTACCCTTGTTTTATTTTTGTCTCTTCCAGTTCTTCCCCCTCCCTTCCCTACATCCCTTTCAATTGTTGAACACCTTTCTTCCTCATCTATATATAAGTTCTTTGAAGACAAGGACAATGGCTGATTTTTTAATTGTGTAGCAGAGTGAGTGGCATGTGTTTATAAGTATCGTTAGTTTTATTGACTTGACTTTCTTTTCTCTCTAGGGAGAATTTACATTCTCCCCAATTTTAAAGATTTAACTCTGTGCTGTTGATTGAATTGAAATGGAATAAAAATTAGTCCCATGAGGCTAGGGGATAAGACTTCAAAAGAAAACTAGAGAATTTTCAGGAATTTCCAGAATCAAGAGAAATATTATATTTTTGTTCCAATAGCTTTCTCCATCCCACTTCAACAAAACTGCGATAACCTAAGTACTTTTCTTTCTCCATCCTCTTATCCCCTCTTAATCCCAAATTCTATTACTTTACTGAAGGTATCTTTACTGAAGTTATTATGTAGCATAGAGTTTCACATATGAAAACCCAGATTTATAAAACAATCTGGGGGAACGCCACCTTCTTTTCCTCTTCCCTACATCCTTTTCAATTGGTGAACGCCTTCTTCCTCATCTATATATAAGTTCTTTGAAGACAAGCACAGTGTCTGAACCGAACGGGTTCACTGAATTCTTTTAAATAGCTAACTTACCTTGTTTTAACAACAACAAAAATGCAAGCTTTCAGGAAACCTCACAGGAAACACTAACAGTAGCAGTGGAAACTATTTTTTCTGAATGTCTACAAAAAGACCAGACAGGTATGAGAACACACAACCCCACCACCCCATCTCTTACCGCAACCCCTCTCCATCCCACCGTTTTCTGTCACTAATCTACTTCAAACTTCAGGATCAACGGGAGAAACTGAGATTCTGGAACTCTGTCTTTTCTCTTTCTCAAATATTGGAGAGGGAGAGGATCGGCTCAGGACTGGCCGCTTTCCAGCAAGCACATGCGACAACTGTCCAACTCAGAATTTCAAGCACTGCCTGCTTTCCCTTGAAAAAGTGGGGGGAAAGTGAAGTGAACCTATTGGATCTCTGTGGGGTATGCATTTGTATTTCAAACAACGAATTGAGGCGAAGACCCAGAAGCCCGGTCTTTCGGAGTTTAGAGTTCCTTCAAGCCCTCACTTTCAATGAGCAGGGAAAACAAGTCTCCTGGGCCAACTGAAGAACAGCAGCGGGCGAAGTGGGTGAAAGTGAATGAACAAGAACATGCCTGGGGACAAAGTTTAACAGCAGAGGGCACAATACCCACAGTTCACGGCCAGCCGCGGGCGGCACGGAGGGGCCAATCCAAGGGTCGCTGGGGCTTGTAGTTCGCCTTGGCCTCCCTGCGCCGCGCCCGACCTGCCCCAGAACTACAACTCCCGACGTGCACCGCACGGCTCTCCCGTCCCCGCCACCCGCTCTCCGGCCCGCGCTGGAACCTCCCGGGAATCTGCCCCGCCCCGCCCCCTGCCCGCGCGTCACGTTTGTTTACCCTGAAGCGCCGCCCCCCGCGGTCCCCGCGCTCCCCACTCCTCCCAGGAATGCCGTCATGCTGTCATGCATATTCATGAGCCGCGAGGCGTTCCCGCCCCGCCCGCCGCCCGCCTCCCCGCGGCCCGCGCGTGATTAATATTCAATCAGCCGGGCTCGGCGGC